CTCACGCAACGGCGCATACCACCACACATCATCGTGTAAATCCCTTCGGGAATATTATTTTAAATTTCGTGCTTCGCCAAATATGCATATAGTAGCAACTTGGTTTTGTCCTATGCAGTGAGAATTTCAATGCGTCTCAGCTGGACAGCTAAACGGATGAAACGATTTACTCATCAATCGATCGATCTCTTCCTGGGCCTCACGATTAAACTCGACATACAAATCGCGTGACAAATCGTGGCCTCAGTAGGAGCGCTCACTCTTCTACTTACTAGGTTATTAGTTTTGCCCAATGAAGGGTTTCAACTCATCGAACAGTAGCTGTGAATTCAAGCTATGTTCAACTAGATAACTGCGCACTCTGCCGTCTGCATTCCATGAAAAAAAATGATGCCTTCGGTTTCAACTTACTTCACGCTGTATCGAATAACCAAAAGTATCCCTTATTTCGATAGGGATATTGGCGACACCTGTGCTTCGTAGTTGGTCTTAGATACCTGCTCTTCATTGCCAAAACTCGTGCTTCTTTAGGGCCACCAACTAGTATAAAGGAAAGCGCGATCGAAAATGCACTAAGGCTTGCGACACATCCACTAGAGAAGCAAACGTAATGTAATAAATTGCTACACCTTCCATTCAACGACAAGGAAGTGGTAACTGATTTATTTCTCCTCTGATTGGTTTAATGTTGGCTGAACCAATGGCATTTGCACCAATCAGCACTCGGATTGCTGCTCTTTCCGTCAGGTAATTGGCTGCTTGCAGCAGTGCTGTCTAGAGGTGTTTAGTGTTCCATTTTCTTTTACCGGTTCTGCGTAGCGCAGAGTCGAATGGGATTTGCATTTACATGGCTCTAGCACATCGTGGAGATGCTCTGAATTCTTCAAAGCTGAAAGGCCATTCGGATGCACATCGTCAAAGCAGTTCTGGTGGTCAGATCACCTGTTTTGTCACCCAACCGGACAATGTCGTTCTCCACGTTGATGTGGATAGCAAAGCAAAGGGTCAGGAAGTATTGAATAAGGTGCCTGATAGTTTGGCTATCACACTTACCTTCATAGAAGCTTCCATCTAGGCGGTTTTTTCTACTTCAAGATCTGCACGCTCCTGGGGATCCAGGATGAGGCGGACTACTTTGGTCTGCAGTATGCCCTCTCGAAAGGCGATTTAATTTGGCTCAACATGCGTAATCGTCTTGCCAAACAAATTCCTGGTAGTCCACCATTCAAACTCTTCTTCAAGGTCAAGTACTTTGTGCCTCCCTACAATCTGGTGCTGGAAGAAACCAAGTAGGTATTTTTCGCACACTTAACACTTATAAAGTAGTTTCATTCTTTATCTTTTTCTGTATTTTAAAAATTGAAGTCCTTGATTTCATGTAAGAGAAGGACGACAAAACATGTATTTAATACCGGAAACTGTTTTGTTGTGCTGTTAGGATTCACTTTGAAACGTTGCTTTGTTGAGTTCATAACCTCATTGTGATTAAAACTAAATTTCTAACAAGCAACTTTAGCACTTTAGCATTTTTTGGTCCAAAACCCACCAAGCAAATCCATCTTTCGGTCTTGTGATATAATATTTTAGTTTGTCCTTCTGAATTTTGGACAAAATAAATAGTGTGAATTGTTTTCCTCTCAGGAACTTACATGGACCTAAGTAA